AGAGGTACAATGCTAGACTTGTTGAAAAAAGATTTCAGCAGAGATAAAATATTGTCCATGTAGTGGGAGGTGTAAGCAGAAAAAAAAGTAATCCAGGACATAGATTGGAGGTGCAAGGCTATGTGGACCCTGCTGATATGTTGACTAAGTGTGTTACACTTGATAAACTGAAGTTGTGCACAGCTTCAGTTGGTCTTCTAGTGTGAAGACAAATGTTTTGAGTTGTAGAGGTGGGGGATTCATGTTTGAAAAAAAAGAGTGACTGCTAGTGGAGGATATCAGTTCGAGGAAGAAGACATTGTAGTATGTGTATCGGTCTCCAAGTAGGAGATTTGTTGTGCTGGAGCCCAATCCCAATCCCGCCTCCCGCTCGATCAGGAAGCGCCGCCCCCGCTTTGTCCTGAATCGTTGTGACCGCTCTCGCTCGCCTCTTCAGTAAGCAAGACCTGTTCCCGCTCCCGCCTCCGCTTGCTCCCGCACGCGCGAAGCGAAGTTTCGCTTCATCCGATCGCAAATAGTCGCGACTTCTCCCGATTCCTTCTCGCGATAAAAGGCTTCGAATTGCTCCTTTAGTTTTAGAAGTCACGATTTTGGTGTTCTTCTTTGGACTTTCACGGGACAGTGGAAGGGCTTTCTCGGGACAGAGAAAGAGAAGTGCAAGGTGTAGTTTCTTGCGGTAGAAGGAAGAAGAAATAAGAAGACTGTTCTCCCTGGGCTTCTTCTTTGTGGTTTGTGACAGAAGAGAAATTAAGTTTATTTCTCTTGTAAGTTTATCTTCGTCAATGTATCTTGGTGTAGAGAGAGAAGAAGAAAAAGCAACGAAGTGAGAGATTTCTCTTCTAAGTTGAAACGATCGACTGGTATAAATTCCTCAAGTAGTAAAACCCTTTGCAACTCCGTGGACGAAGACAATTTGTCGAACCACATAAATCTGTGTGTTTTGCTGTGTGTTACTGTCTTCTAGTGTAAATTTTCTCATTCTTTTTTTTGCTTCGTCAAATATCGTTCTTTTATTTTATTTTATTTTATATACCACCACAACTGGATCACAACACAGTGAAGGCTGCAAGTGGATAGAGCCCTTTATTAGTTCTTCCACTAAGCAGTGGCTTCTTTGTAGTTAGATCCTGTATGAAAAAACCAATGGGATGAAAAATACTAGAACAATTGTTATCTTAAGCTAATTTTGAGACAGATGTGAGGTTGTTAGATATATTAGGGACATAAAAAAGGGAGATAAATGAAGCTTATTGTTCGAGGTTGAAAAAATGTCATTTCCAGTATGAGAAATGTTAGTTGCCTACCCATTACCTACGACAACCTATTCTAACCCGTTGTAAGGTGTAGGATGTTAAAGATTGTCCAGGTATGGTGTGAGATGTGCTGTAGCATCCGTATCCACAATCCAGTCTTGACTTTCAGAGTTTGTAGTGGTTTGTAGAGCTGTTGTGGTGGATTGAGGCGTAGGTTGGTGCGTTGCCAGCAAGTATCAGTTGTATGCCCTCTCTTGTGGCATATTTGACACACAATAGGAGATTTGCATTGTTGGGTAGAATTAAAAGTAGAAGGTTTGGTGATGGGTTGATACTTGAGGGTGAATCTAGATCTGAAGTTGGTGTTTTTATTGGTGAAAGAAAGAAGGGTAGAGGCCTGATTGTGTTTTAAAGATTCATTGGTGCACTGCGTAGGAGAGAGTGCAATTCTTCAAGGGTAAATGGTGTGGGCTAAACACGGATAGCGGTCTTTATTCCTTGATAGGATGGAGATAAGCCGTTAAGAATATAGAGGATAAGATCCTCTGTGTCAAACTTGGAACTAGAGGCAGCAATGTTGTCAACAATTTGTAATGGATGTGAAATATTAGGTCATTGATTGAGATCCTATTTGAATGTGATGTGACTCATTTTTGAGTTGAATCACTCAATATTTGTTTGTAGACTGGAATCGACTTTCAAGGGTGATCCATATGTCAGTCGTACAATGAAGGTTCATAACATATGGTAGAACGAATGGGGAGATAGTTTAGAGTAGTGGCGAGATTTTAATTTATAAGCTCCCATAGGTTATATTCAGGATTCGAAGAAAGAGTTCCAATGGGTTCTTGAATGTGCTATGAGGGAGGAGGAATGTTATTATCTAGAAAAGCACCAAATCTGTTGGCAAGAAAGAGTTTATGTAATTGTACCTGTCATATGGGATAATTTTCGAAAGTGAGAAGAGTTGTGGTCATTGTCTTGATGTTCTGCATCAAGAATTTAAGGGGAAAAGGTATTTGAATCTCCTTCATTCTATTCAGAGGAACTTGAGATGATTGAATGATATGAGGAGTGGTGCAGGAGGAGGAAGAATTGTTATCCATGGGTCTTGGCTGCTGAGGGCGAGGATCTCTGATACCATATAAAGAAGAAGAAGATAAAGGGGAGATAAACTAATAATCTTTTTCATATCTTACTCTGTTGATTATAGGTATATTTATAAACAGTGGAGCGACATACTTGCAAATAGTCACAAGGTTAGAAAGGTCATTCCAAAGGCAAGTAAATAAATATAAAAGCATTACATAGTGATAACCTTATCTATATTAGCAGGACGGGAGATGGAGCAAGAAGGGAGGGGGAGTCGTGATGATCTGACACAGAGAAGCAAGGATATAAGGGGGAGCTGGGATGATCTTTGCATGTTTACTGATGATTTTTGATAGCTAATCGATGAAAATCTACTTGTGTGCATCAACGAACAGGATGACAAAAGGATTATCCTAATTCATATCACTGCTTTAGCTATATTTTATTTGTTAAATTTGGGTTAGTACCTAAGCATTAGATTTAGGGCCCGTTTGGGGCAGCTTAAAAGTTAAAACACCGCATCACTGTTTGAAACGCCGCCTCACTGTTTGTTTATAGCGTTGGAGCTGAGTTTCGTGAAACGGAGTTTTCTATTTTGTATTACACACGGACTGCGGTTGTATTCCCGTGATCCGCGTTCGACCTCCAACTTTTTATGTGTTTGCCCTCGCAAAACAGTCCGCAACCTCCCTACCTTTCTTCGAACTCTTGTGTCGATCCTGCTCCGTCGATACCCGAATTTGCTCGAGCTCCCGGTCGCTCGAGCTCCCGGCGCAAGTGCCGCAAGACCCATTTTACGGCGCCATCCAGTGTGCGGCGAAAGCTCAAGAGCGCTCCCCTGTCTTTGGATCTTCGCGGGAAGCACAACGTGCGGTCAATGCCGGTGAGGAAAGACGACGGATCCACTATTAACGCTAGCATCGACCCTTCCAATGTTTTCGTCACCAAGCTCAAGCTCAACAATGACCGGAAGTCTCTCCTCGACTGTAAAGCTCGCGGGCGCTCCACTGAAAAAGCCAAGGGCAAGTTCTCCGTTGAGGAGGTGGTCGTCGGCTCTGCACCCTCCCTCCAGGAGATTGATTGATATCTCCCAAATGTAACAGACCTTCGGTGATATTCTATTACGTTTTTGTATCAGTTTTACTTCCACTTCAGCAAAGTTGGATTCAGAAATTTTTAATTTTTGCTCCCTAAAATTTATAAATTTTTATTTTGCTATTGTTATTTCAAGTCCTTTGATTGTGGATTTTGTGCATGGGTACAATGTTATGAATTTCTCTTACTATATAAATCTTTGGAATTTAACCGAAGTTGTGATGTCAGTTTCATCCGGGCCATAATTTCACAATTTTCGTTCCACTTTTCAATATTGATGCTTATAATAGAGGAAGTGGTTTTTGTTGCTCTCATGGTGTTCATTGTTTGTCCTCTGTGAGTTCATAGAACAATTTATTTTTTATTTTTGGAACGATGAAACTTTTATTTTACTTAAAATAAAAAAATTGGGAGCATGGAATCATGAGCTTGGATGTATAACCTTCTGAAGTTCCAGGTGTTACTTAGCCTTAGATCTTTTTCTACTTAAATTTTAAGCAAGAAATTATACCATGTTATGAAAAATTAGAATGAGATTATGTTTCTTGGGATAATTGGAGCTGGTTTGTTGATGATCTATATATGGGATCTAGTGGAATCACAATTACATGAAATGGGTACTTCGTAAATTAGTGCTTGAAGCTATTGGTAATGGATATTTCTTCAATAAATTCAGACTCAATCTTTTTTTAGTTTTAATTTGTCATTTATATTCAGACCAATTTCTTTCTATTTGGTATCCAACCACACTTTTTGTTCTGCTATATGATGATTTGACAATAAATTGTTTCTCATTATATGTTGTATTTGAAATTTATTTGGACTAATGAGGTTTTTGGTCTGACGACCAATGTAAAATGGAACTAAGAGCATTATTCTAATGTTTATAACTTTTATATTGAATTAGTTGAGAAATTTACAGACATACTTTTGTTTATCAGCAAATCAGCTATTCATAAAACGCACAAACCAAATAGTTAAACAGTTTATCCAGAACAGGGGCAGATCGGTCATCTATCCAGAATCAGCTGTTTTTCAAACGCACAAACCAAACTGTCAGTCAGCTTATCCAGATCAACTGGTCATCAGCAGATTATCAAGATAATTTGTTTATCAGCATAAGTTGGATAAGTTGCAGCTGCCCCCAAACAGACCCTTAGTTTTGGTTTTGAGTTTATTTAGAGTATGGGCCCATAAATAGGCCATTTGGGATTGTATTGAAAACAGAGAATTAAGAAATACAACAGCCCCGTTTAAAGTTATATCCATTCAGTTTGATGTTATGGGGATCAAAGATTCCACAATGGCACTAACAGAAAGATGGATCGAGGAAACCTCTTTTTCTAACTTGTCAGCTAACTCGAGCAAAATATTTGGTTTGCGTGGCATCAATTTGAATGCATAACAAACATAACCTGAATTCAAGTATTAATTAAAAATCCATGCCCTACTCATCAAAGGTACAGCACCATGTGAAATCTTACCAATAAAATGCTTTCAAAATTCGTAAATCGGATAACAAGCGTAATGGTATACATCTACGTGTTATTCCTTTTTCACCTGAGATCCGGACACTTGCGCCCCAGCTCAAAGAGAAGCTTCCCACTGAAGTTATCGCAATTATGGAGGCAAAGCTCCTGAAGCGAAGATCGCGCCAAATACCCGATCGCTGAGTAGTCAAGCCTGCTGCAGTCCAGCTTCAGGCTCCGCAGATACGGGTTTGGAGGCAGCAAAGGCCTCAGCAGATCCAGCTCAGGCGCTATCTCCTGAACAACAACGAAACAAATCAAAGCAATATTTAGACCTAGGGTAAAGCAGCTGAGCAAGACTTCAACTTCTTTTGTTCAAATAGAAGGCTTACGAGAAGATGAAAGGATGGCATGAAGGAGCGAGTGTGGATTGTACAGGAACGGAGATATCTACATGATGCCGAGGCTGCGCAGAGGGAGCGGGGATCGAGCTTCGAGAGAATCGTTGCTATGAGGGCGGAGGGGAGGCGTTGCTCCATCTCAAACGAATGATCCGATGCCCCGTTTTCTTCTCGTCCGCGGCTGTCGCCGCCGGCGAGTCTCGCTTCCACCTCCTCGCGTCCTCTGGCCATCCGGAAGTGAAGTTGGCAGGAAGTACTATTTCCAACCATAAGTAATTAGCTTCCCGATTACAGCATCTAATTTATGTGATTTCATTTTTAAGGGGTGATTGTAACAAATAATATTTATTTTGTAATTTAACATTTTAATATGGTGATTTTATTACATATGCCATGTAATGCACTTAACACGAACACAAGCTTTGCTCGTTCGTGTTCGGTTAGTTTACACCCCTAAATGCACATTAGTAGAAAAAATTGGACTCTTATTTATTTTCTTATAAAAATATATCTAAAATAATATTGTAAATAAAAATATTTTTACTTTCTTACCATATGGTCTTTAATCAAAATTTGTCGCAGCTAATAATAATTAAAATAAGATTTGAATATAATTTGAATTATATTTTGATTTTATTCAAATTCTACTCAAATATTAAATGAAACATTATTGAATCCGGCATAATCTCTATAAAGTTCAAATATGATTTATCATCGCTCTAACATAACTCGTGCAAGTTCAAATTATTTTTAAATATGGAATGAATAATGTCTAAATAGGGTTCAATTAAAGTTAAAACAATGTTTGGACTATGGGTTCAATAGTGTTTGAAATGGTTCAATTAATGTTCGAACATAGTCCAAATAAGATTTGAATTAAGTTCAAATATATGTTATGTTTAGGACAGTTGCAGCTTATTAAAAAATAGTTGTGAAGTTGTTAAATAATAATCTGATGCTCAAAAAGCTACAGTGGTTATTACAATTTTTTTTTAAGTCGGATTGCAGCTAAAATGTTGTCACCGCATCTAGCTAGGAGTTGTGGGAAGACAGAGATTTTTGCGGCAACATTTTTAAAAAGTTGTTAAAACACAGTTTAACTAAACAGAGAAAATCGCGGTACAGTGTCACACCGCTGCCTCAAACGAACCCATAGTCATGACAATTACTACATAGTGCATTATTGAAGATATAACAATTATTCATACAAATAAAACAAAATAATACAACATATTATAACTATCATGAAAGTTATGACACCTAGCAGTTTATATTACAAAAGGGAATAGCATAACACATCACAACATAGGCTAAAATCAAGGCTACATCAACATTAGAATCATTACATGTTTGAAAAGATTCATATAATAAGCATAACACTTAGTGTAAATCAAAAGCTACAACACAATATTTAAAATATAAAACATGTGAATGTAGAAGTAATGTATATATTATAGATAAATCTATAAGAAATGAGAATTTGAAGTTACTCTAGAGCAAAGGAATATATATTTGAATTGAACTTTAAATCTACATTATTGTGAAACATAGATAAATAATCAATGTGAAATTGTATATGATCATTGTAACTTCTAAAAAAATTGAGATCAAGCTAAAGAAGGTGTTATCTTAGAGGAGAAAAATGATGTGAAGTAGTGCACCATTTTTTTTTTTTTTTGCATCTTCATCGAAGTTCTGTTGTATCCTTTTTTCTTTATGCTCTTTCTTTTTTTCCCACATGTTTATATATGTTTTTTTATATGAACCACACTAATGTAGTTGTTATATTATCTAGCGATTTTCACTTGTTGGCTATTCTTTTCCCCCCCCCCCCAACATCATGTTGTCAGGATGAATTGTATCAATCTTGCTTAGGCTTATTTTTAGTCCTTGTTTGGAAGTTGATTCTATGTGACTTGCCCCCTAAGGAAGACAAAAAATATTGAAAGTCTAATTGGAGTATTTCCGCTCAGTAGGAACTAAGTAACATCATTCACTTCTAAGGATTACAACCCCTTGAGAATTTTTGGCTTCAACTACATCAAAGTCTTCTGAGGTTTATGCCATCTTAGGCTTATAGCTTTCTGAGGTTTATAATGTATCTGTACCATCTAAGATCTGTAGCATTCTAAAGTTTACAATATACTTGTGCCTTTCGGAACTTATGGCCTTCTGAGATGTTTGATGTTCCAATATCTTTTAAGGCTTATAGCCTTCCAATATTTTTAATGTACTTGTATCGTTTGAGGGTCCTAGCATTTTGGGATTTTTATGTACCCGTACCTTTTGAAGCTTCTGACCTCCTGAGATTTTTCAGACCCTATCAACCCCTTGCTCTCACTGTGTCTTTCTGGCGAAAACATTGTCCAATACTAGCTTCCCATCAATATTTTTCTTCTAGGCTCGTCTTCTAGGGGTATGGGCAAAGACATTATCTACCTTTTGTTTTTTACCTTACTTTTGGGTCACATGGAGCTTTTGGGGGCATATGGAGCTTTTGGAAGCGTCCCAGTGCCTCTAAACCTTTAATAACAGTATTATGCCCTTTTTTGGCTTGGCCTGATCACACCAGGCCTAGGGTGTGACCACGCCCAGGCGTGGTCACACGTACATGGAGCATGATCACTCCTCTGCATGGCCACACCCTCTAATTCTGGTCACTGATACATGGCCTTTGTCCACATATCCTCATCCCAACCATCCACTCAAACGAATGACTGAAAATATTCGGCAACTGTTGACGGTTGTGAAACCCACTTGAGTAATCCAAACCGTTTATCTCCCATCTAATTGACAGCTCAAGCCAGCCGCTTCCGCCTATAAAAGGCGATTATTCCTCCCTCTCTAGACACATGTTTGGTGCTCTGCACGCTTGCTCTAGAGGTGTGAAGTCTTCTTCTTGGAGTGCATTATTTAGTCATCGATCCTAATCAGCCACCATTTTGTAAGTCTTCTTCTTTTTTTAATTATGTGTTTTGATTTAAGTATTTGAATTAAAATCTAGTTTAGGTTAACTTAACAACCATGGATTAGGATTGGGTTTAGGTTTGACTCGGATCAACCTGAACCTAACTGAACCACAATTCCTAAAATGGCTTAACCCAAACCCTAAAACTTAACCCAAGTCTGACCCAACCTAGACCCAAAACAACTCAAGTCTAGCCCAACCTAACCAAAACACTAAAACATAACCCAGGTCTGACCCAACCTAGCCTGGAGGGAATAACTTGGAAGGATGTAACTCATGGTTACTGATGAAGGTATTTCAAACCTTCTTGAGACTATGAATCCCTTGAGCTATAATAATTAAGGGGGATTCTTGGTTATAAGACTGGTTATAGTTCACGGATACTAATTTTCTAAAAAAGAATGAAATTCATGGGCATTTTGACCGGATAAATCCTTCCTAATATCTAGGTTTGTCCACCTAATAGAATTTCTTATAGAGTCTAGGGTTTTATTTTCTATCTAGAAATCCTTCTTACTCAACTTTATTCCTAGTTTAAGGCTCCTAATTACTTGTATTAGTCAAATCAAGTGTTTTTTTATTAATCATTTGACCCAATCTAATCAAATTCTCCATCTTATGTTTTTTAAATCACTTCCCATCATGTATAGTTGTCTATCTAGAACTTTTTTTCATGAATTTATAAATATCATTCATCCTCCCTTATAAAGCTTAATTTTGAACAATTTAATTTATCGTATTAATTAAGAGTTTTCTTTAGATTCTATAATCCTATAGATGTAATTAAAAATGAGGGCTTGCCCTTATAGGAAACAAGATTCTAGAAATTAAATCTTGTTTTACATCTGTGAGATAAAAATCATGGTTCCACAAACACAGAAGGATTTCCTCATCCAGGCCATTCTAAGGTAATATTCCTATCCTTCAAAATAATATATTATTTTTTAAATGTTGTATTTGATCATTTAGATAGAAATCTTCTGCAATATATGGTGGCCATGTTTAAAAAACCTCCACTTGCCCTCGAGGGATCATTACAGTGAGGAACATATCCATTGCTAGCTCCCCAACGATGGCTCTTCTTACAGTGATATGGGTGAAGACATTGTCTATCACTTGCTCTTAAGTTGTCTTTCTTATGAGAAATGTGTCCATTACAAGCTTTCCATGAAGATTTGACTCCTGGGCTCGTCTTCAAAGGATATGGGTGGAGACCTTATCTTTCACTTGTCTTTAAGGGGACTTTCTGTACACAAAATATTTTATGAGAGAATAAATAAATTTTGGTTCATAATAAAGAAAAGTTCATTGAACAATAGTTCTTTAATACAATAGGGAAATTCTTGCTAGAAATAAAATTAGAAACTTATTGGTTAGTATGAAAGCAAAAAGTCTATTATTAAATTAAGATAAATTATACTTGTGCTTCTTAATTGATAATTCTGACGATTTGTTTCTGATTCTCTTCGCCTCATTCTCATAAGTAGTGACCTAGATGACCTTAATGTATTAGACGTTCAATTTCTTCTGTTAAGTGAAAACATCTTTCAGTTGAATGTTCTTTTACACGGTGAAAATTACAATATTTGTACTAGTCTCTACCATCTAGATTTTTTAACAACTTTGGCCACTTAACGACCCTTCATCCCTGATAGTCATCGGGATGTTGACATGTGCCTTGTTGAGTGGCATATATTATTTGTTCTTATTAAGGCTCACATCACGGATTCACAGGTCGAGAAAGGAAATAAATATTCCCCTATGGTTCACTTCTTTTGTTCTAAGGTTTGTCGGCATCCATATGGTTATTCTTATGCCTGCCCTCAAACTGTTTAAATATGATGTTAATATGTTTTCCCTGTTTTTCTTTTCCCAACTAATCATTCCAGACGCAATAGGTGTCGTTTTGGGGCAACTTTCTACATGTTCTGTTTTTCAGACCACCACTATAGTTCTGTTTGAGAAAATATTTTCTTGTTGTTTTTAGAAATTTCTATGGTAGAAATTTTTTTTTCAACCTGAGTTGTTAAAGTAAGGTGACTTTCACAAAGCTGCAGTATGACTTTTTGAAAATAAAATAAATCTATTTTTTGAAAAACAATTTCTTCTGCAACAACTTCACAGCTGCTTATTTAAATAACCACAATTGTCCCAAACAAACCCTAAATATCGGCCTAAACTTATAAAAAAAGATATGAAAAAAAAATAGAAGTTTGGAAAATAATTTATATTCCACAAATGCATTATTTCTTAAATTGGCTTCTTATAAGAAAGTTTATGGGTCGTACGAATAGGACTTTGATTGAA